CAGGATGGAGTCACAGCCAAACAGGAACACACTAGATGAAGCTACTAGGAGAAAAAGCAGAGAGAGCAGAACGTGGACTCAATGTCCACTTTGACATCCTGCCCAGGTTGATACTGCTGCTGCTAAAACATTTACAGATGTGTCAAACTGATGCCAAAGTAGAACTTCACATGATGCTCCACATTCCTCATTTTAGGGAAGAAAGGGCTTCTTGGAAGAGTTGTTATAAAATACAACTTTATTCTGTTAATTTATGACTTTATTCTCGAATTGAAAAAAAATCTCTAGCCTGGCCCTAATACTCTGTCGTATGTAAGAGTAGCAGTACTTTTGTTTTTTACTCATTTAAAGGTAGAAATCACAAGAAATTAATATAAATTTCTTTACTGAATAAATGTTGGATCTGATTAAATGTTTAGAAATGATAGAGTAAGGTAGAATATTTGCAAGTTCTGGTATTTTAAAGACTAATATACAAAAAATATGACGACATTTTTTTTAAATAGCAAATCCATGCAGAAAAGCAAAACACTTTTTCAGATCTTTTTTGTCCAACGTTAAACTTATGAAAGCAATCCTCACAGTGAGAATTATATATAAATTGGGTCAGGGTAGAGAATTTCCATGGCAGTACTTCTAACACTGTATTTATTCAACTGTGTTTGTCTCCAAGGTGCAAAACTGGTCCAGGTGATCATGTTAGAGCTGATCAAAGAACATGAATCTCTGTTTGCCAAGTTTCTTCCTTCTGTCGGCGCTCAACCTTTTGGAAGTTCACATGCATCACCTTTGAGGCAGCCTCATCTCCAGCCAATGCCCTGCCTTCGTCAGCTGTCTTTGCCTCTTATTGCAGACCACTCTAGTGAATCAGGACATGCAGCCGAGCACGCAGACCACCCCAGGTAAGCTAGAGGTTCTAGAAATGCATGGTCAGTTGTGCTAGAGGGATGAAAAGTGGCTAAATATAGCGACTAAAGCGCTAAGTTGGCAACACTGCTCTTTGCATGGTTTGTTTTCAAATGGTTTGCTGCTGTCTGTTTGGACCTTTCTGAACATGTGCAGCAAATGGACTGATCCAATATGGTGGACGCTGAAGGGGGGGGGGGGGGGGGGGGGGGTTAAGCAGTGAGAAACAAGAGCCCCAATTGGATAACACACCAAAATATGCAACTTCCAGTGAGGCCACATCTCTTAGGGAAACTACAGAGCAGGGGAGGGTCATGATGTTTGTAATTAACTCTCGCAGTGGCTTCTGGGTTTACAGTAGCAGCCATTCAAAATGGCCTTTTCCAGTCAAACACCAGCCCAATGGCAGCCCACTTCCCTCCAACTCCCTGTAAAATCCCCTCCAACTTCAGCCACTGCTGTGGCTGAAGTTGCATGTTTTTTTTACTCTGACTCCCCCCTTTCACTGAATTAACGAGTCTGACCAGGAGATGGCGCTTCTCTTTAGATCTCAATGTCCACAAATCATGACAGAAAGAATATTATAGTATAAAGAAGTTTAAAAAGGAAATGTAGGGGACCAGCCAATGACCAGCAAAGGACAAGCCAAGGACCAGCCAATGACCAGCAAAGGACTAGCCAAGGACCAGCCAATGACCAGCAAAGGACTAGCCAAGGACCAGCCAATGACCAGCAAAGGACTAGCCAAGGACCAGCCAATGACCAGCAAAGGA